TCTAAACGGCCGCACGCCCAACGCCCGCGCGTTGTTGGTGCCCCACGTGCGGCGAGGGCTGCGTAAAGCGAGGGAAACTTCACGCTGGGGGGGAGGGGGGGGGGGGCACGGTGGCGGTGATCTCCTCTCCGGCGCCGGTGCTTATTTTCCCGTCACGGCTTTAGCACGAACGAGCACGTGGGCACGGCCGACGTGGTTGGGGTGACGGTCGGCGCGCTGGACTTGCGATCCACACCCTCCCGGTGTGTGGCAGTTGTAGCCACGAAGCGTGGTCGCGTGGATTTTTCACGGGGTCCTCCAGGTTTTTCCCCTCCACATTGAGAATCGACATCGCGCGTTTAGAGTACTTTGGCTGCTGTAAATGTCCACGTGATAAGCCACTTCGGGTGGCTTCTGGAAGAAAAAAAAACAGCTAAATCGCCCAGTGGGCTTTAACTGATAAAATAAAAAAAAGAATAGCTTAGTTTCAGTTTAATTGGAGAAGAACCCACGCGCTTCTAAGACGTCGTGACTCTGAACAAAAAAAGCGGGTAGTGGGCAGGACACGTCGCTATGGGCAAGATGAGCCTGACAGGACGCTGGGGGTCCATCGTCGCGTGGCAGGACCGCAACTGGCAACCAACGCAGCTTGGTGAGGAGGGAGGCCTTCATCCAGCAGTGGACCCATCACGGCTGATGATGATGATTGTGATGATTGTGATGAGTGTGCTAATGATGAATACGTTTAAAAAAATAAGAGCCCCCCCCCCCCCCCCCATGCATGGATTTTCTTGCTTACCCAGAAACCCCGTAGAGGAGGGCGCATCAGAGCGAACGACATTCCTGCGCGAGGTGCATAATCCCCGATCGCTGGACAGTGTATCTCACTCCGCAAATATGCGACCGCGCGCCGGGCGGCCAAAGGAGAGGAAGGTATTCGTGCATTTTGTTACCTTTTTTTCCCCCCTCTCTCCTTTCGTCATCTTAAAAACAATTTAGTTTCCATTATCCAACGATTGCCGGGGGGGGGGGAAGGTGGGGGGGCGGAGCGGTGGCGCAGCGATTAACGCACCCGCTACTGCGCTAAACTAAACAATGGTTTTTAATTTACCAGGTAAGGCCCACTGAGATGTACCGCTCTTTTTCAGACGTGTCCTGGCTATTACAAATGATCACTCAACCAAGCGGCTTATCACGTGGAAATTTATAGCACCCAAATAATCTAGATGCAGGTTTCTAAACGTGGAGTGAAAAACCAGAGGACCCAGACAAAAATCTACACGACCAGAGAGAGAGAGAGAACATGCCAACTCCAAATATACAAGCATCATCAGGGTCGGGATCGAACCCACGATCTCCTGCATACCAGGCGAAGTAGTTAACATCTCATAACCACCGTGACGCCATGAACCTGCGGGCCCGATTGAGTTCGATTCCTCGGTCATTCTGATCCAGTCTTCGGACACCCCCACCCCCACCTGCAACTTTTCCAGCCCTTGCCACCGATGACTGCCCAAAAACAACAAAAACTTTCACGTTAAATTAATTGAGAATTATCCGGGCACGGAGAATTTACCAGCGTGGGTTTGAGTCACGTGGCCCATACACTTTATCAGGGCGTGTGCAACGTGGGTGCTCCGAGTGTGGATCAAGATAGATGTTGAACTGGGAAACAAATTTTTTTTTAATTTGCATGACATCATCTTCCAGGGCTGTTTCTCAGACACTTGGTGGCGAATCCCTCGCTGTGGGAATCAATGTGAATGGCCATTCTTTTTTTTGCATCTTCATCTCACGAGATGGTTTGCCGACAGCGCAAGTGGAACATAACTGGGAACTATTTAAATCAATAAAAGAAAAGACAGACGAAGAACTTGCTATGCAACGTCATTTCCTAGGATGCTGCCAATTTTTTGTATTATTTCCCCCCCCGAAAAGAGGTGGTGCCCAGATATCACTCCCCACCGACGTGAGCCGGGGCCCCGGGGGGGATAGGGGGCGGGATTGGAACCCACGTCGCCACCGCTCTCGGCTACGAGCGCACGCACGCGCGTACACAGGTACGCAGGTGCGGACATCGCGAACAGCACGCGCGCCTCTCCCGGTGGGATCTATACCCATCGGGAATCGGCAGACACCGATGTCTGGCTTTGGTGCGTTGTGCTGCGCGTTGCGTTGCCTTGCGCATTATTTCTCCACGGCGCGTAGCAACTGAATTTGTTTCATCAAACCCTACGCGTTTATTAACATTACACATTTCGTAATGATCGAGAGTACCAAAGAGGCACGGGGCTGCGGTAGACAACATTAAGGACCACTGGTCGAAAATAACACCTCCGGGGGTTGGTGGATCGCGAAGAGTGGCAGCGATCGCTCAGGAGGGCGACGACATTTTTGTAACGGCGACGTCAATCGCCCCCCAACGGTGAAAACGGACGCACGCTCGCGCGCACGCAGACGCGCGGCAAAACCCACGCGCGGCAAAACCCACGCGCGGCAAAACCCACGCGCGGCAAAACCCACGCGCGGCAAAACCCACGCGCGGCAAAACCCACGCGCGGCAAAACCCACGCGCGGCAAAACCCACGCGCGGCAAAACCCACGCGTCCGCCGACGGGCCGACGGGCCGACTTCAAAGGCGGCCCAATAATCAGCGAGATAAGGGCGCGAAGAGCGGCTTCGGGATCGATGCGGCCGGTACTTAAAACATTCACGCGCCCCTAAATTGTACATAGCGCCGATCGAGAGGCGATGGAACGCAGGCCCCGGCGGAAGGAAATCGTTAGAGGGATCCATCAAACTTTCAGCGTCTCGACTTTAATAATACAGCGGGAATTTTTTTTTCCCTTCATCATCTTCTTCGTCGAGTCTGGCGTCGCCCTAAATTTTGCAACGGGAACGATGTGGAGAGATGAATAAATCACGACGCCTAAACAAAACAGGGCAACGATGCGTTCCCTTTCAACCGACGATGAATAATAACAAGGCCTCCGCCGCCGCCTCCGGTGACGTAACGGTTCGCGGCGCCACTGGGCTCCGCGGTACGGAGGTAGCCGGTTCAATTCAATCTCCCGGCGCGGCAGCTGAAAGAACGGGGGTAGGTTTCTTAAATTCCCACCCCCCCCCCAACAACCACCCCCCATTATTGTTTCCCTCCAATGTGTTTGCTGCTCAGCATTTATGATTTATATGCCGCTGTAACTTCCTTTTATTTTTTTCCCGAGGTCCTCCGCGGGCCATTGTTGTTAATCATCGTAGGGCTGAAACATTTCTAACGTATTTTTTTTTCATTGTGGGAGTCACGGAGGCGTGATGCTAACCATCTCGCCTTGTGTACAGGAGGTCGTGGGTTCGACTGAACCCTGACACCTGCTGCTGTATATTTGGAGTTTGCGTGCCACTCTCCCTCTCCCCGCGGTCGCGTAAATTTCTCACCGGGTCCTCCGGTTTTTCCCTCCACGTTCAGATTCAACAGTCTTTGCCTACCGCTATAAATATTCACCTGATAATGAGCCACTTTGTTGAGCTATCATTTGTGGCCAGGTCGCTTCTGAAAAATGAGCGAAACAGCTCAGTGGGCCTTACCTGGAAAAATTAAAAAAAAATCGTTTCCTTTAGCGCAGTGGTGATTGTGTTAATCGCTGCGCCACCGCTCCGCCCCCCCGGCAATAGTTGGAAAATGGAAACTAAATTATTTTGCATGTTCTCACCGTGGTCACGTGGATTCTTTCTCCGGGTCCTCCGGGTTTTCCCTTCACATTTAGAATAAACTTCACACGTTTAGAGAGCATTTGGCCGCTATAAATTTCCACGTCATAAGCCACTTCGTTGAGCTATCATTTGTCGCTTCTGAAAACGAGCTATACAGCTCAGTGGGTCTCACCCGGTAAAAGAAAAATAGTTTATAGCTTTAGAATGCATGTTGAACTTCTTGTCGCGCCGTACGTAGCCAACCGTGCTAATCGGAGGTTTGGGATACTGCACACCGCACGTACGCGTAAAACAAATACAATTGATCAGGAGGCCTTCTAGCAGAGGGCCTCCCCCCCCCCTCGCGTTCCGTCAGCAGCGACGTGAGCGAGCAATTGCAGGGCTGCGCCTTTGCCTCTTTCACTTCAAAAAATAATATACTAAACAACAACAAGGGACGCCGGTGAGCTCCTGAAAGCGTCACGGCATTGGTGAAAAAGAGCTTCACAGCTCATCGGATTCCTCCCAGGATCTAATCAATATTTCGATTCTCATTCGGCGCAGCCCGCGGGGGTAAGCCAAAGAGGACCCCCCCCCCCGCTTAATCCGTCGTTTGATCGTGCAGTGGTTCGTCGGATTTTATTTGCGAGCACGCTTTTTGCCCGTTCCCTGCGCCCACCTCTCCCCCCCTCACGCCGAGAAGCGGATTGTGCTCGGCGCGAGCGATGATTAATGGATCAAATTCGGACGCTCGAGGCCCGCGTGTAACCATGCACGCGCGGGACTCGCGCACGCGTGTGTACGCAGGAGTCGATAGGAATGGATAATGCAGGCAACTCGCGAGCGTGATCACGCACAAATCTCACGTCCGGGGCCTAATGGGACGGGCGAGAGGGGACGAGAATAAACGTACGGGACAGATACGTACACGCGATGCAACATTAATCGGTTTTTGAAAGAGTTAGGAAGTAAAAGAAACGTTTACCCCCAAACTCAACAACAATTTATGGAATTGCGGCAAGCCGTCACCTACCGAGTCGTTAACCTCGCGAGTCGAACCGGAACTCTATAATCCGAGTGGATCACCTGCATGCATATCGGCAAGGAGACGTATAACGCTTTTCCTCGTCCCACCACGACACGCCACGGAGCACGCAGCGGCCTCTCGTGGCTGCGGAGGCCACCGCGAGTCCGCCGCCCGTCGCAACGTTAATTAATGCCTTGGGGTCGCGATCGTAGGGGCGGAGGGGGGTGGAGGGGGGGTGGGGTTCATCGGAGGAGCGACGACCCCCGTGGTGTCCACCGCGGGTGCGAGCGGGCGAGGGACTCACCAGCAGCAGGCTTTGGTGGGCGGTGCCGTCGACGGGACTGGGAGAGTCTGCGGAGCGACAACAGACGCACGCACACACGCACACACGCGCACAAGCGCACACACGCACACACGCACACACGCGCACACACGCACACACGCACACACGCGCACACACGCACACGCGCACACGCACACACGCACACACGCGCGCGCCCGCAAACACAACGCGCGTCAGGACGCAGAGGCTTCGCGCGCGACCTCGTCGTCGTCGGCAACGACCTATCTGTTATAAAACGCGACACGTTCGTCAATTGTTATTTGTGCCCGCTGCCGACGCGGTATAAACAAACAATTGACCCATCGCATAGTTGAATTCTCCACAATGGCGCGAATGATTACTGTGCGTTATGTACCCATTCGTCAATGGATGAAGGCCGTGATATGTATCTAGAACCCAGGAATTTGCGTTCGCTCGACGACGATTGCCGCCCGCCAATCTGAGACGGTGAAATACTTTCTCCAATTGTATTCATAGGGCTCAGAGGAGAAATGTGGAGAAAGTAAAGGCCTACACGATTTAAGCAGAGGCTTCTCCCGGGTAAGAATGCGCAGGCCACATCACGATAACGGATGACAGAGAATCAGCTACGGAGTGGAGATCGAAAACCCAGTAAACATGCCAATAGCGTGCCAACGTTGGTAGGTGGTCGGAACCGTTGGCCCAACGTTAATCTAACATCGGACCAACGTTGACCCAATGTTGACCCCACTGTCGAACCCAACGTCGACCCCGTCGACCCAACGTCGACCCAACGTCGACGGACCCAACGTTGATCCAACGTCAGACCGACGACGTTGACCGGCCCAACATTGACCCGAATGCTCCATGTTCACTGGGCACTGTTTCTGGGCGGGTGAAAGAAAACTGCCGTAGAGACGGCAGCGGTGGGAAGAAGACGTCACGGGGTTCACTGGGACAGGAACGGGGCACAAAACTGTGGAGTGGAAGAGAAGTGCGGCGGCCTTCTCTGCCCAGCAGGTTGACCACAACGACAACAACAACAACAACAACGACAACAAACAACAAACAACAACAAACAAACAACGGACAAATCCTCTGCCGCACCCCCAATCCGGTCTCCTCCGGACAGCGGACCCCTCGTTCCGTCGCCGCGAATCAACGCGCGGAAACCAGATGCTCAAAGTGATCGGCTCCAAACGAGCGCACCCCGCCGCTCGCCCACACCCCGAGCGGGCGACCCCACGGGCGCCGAGCGCGGCAGCAAGCTTCGCCGAACGTGGTCGACGGAGGAGGGGGCATCGGTGAAGCGGCGGTGGCTTTAATTAACACTCGACTGAAACACAATGGAAATTGCTAATTTTTGCGTAATTGGCTTCGTTGCGGTGAGATAGAAATTGTTTTTTTTTCACGGAAAGGGACGATTAATCCAACCCCATTAGCGACGGGGGGGAGGGGGAGGGGGAGGGGGCGGGGGGGAGAGTGGGCCTGTGTGTCGTTTTTAATTTGCGCCCGGGACACTTTTTTATTCATTTGCGCGCGGGATACGGCCGTTGAGCCCACCGCCACCACTCTGCGATCCCCCGGCCGCGTGACCTCCCATTACCGCGATAAAAAAAAAACCGATTCGTTTTGGTTTATCATTGCCGTGACGGTTTATCGGTTTCGGGGAGAAAAGAAAGAAAGGCGAAAGAAAAAAAACGACCGGGTGATCGAGAACACCGCGGGAGCGGGATTGACCGCACGACGCTACATCGACCCACAGCCCTCACCCGCCCCCCCCACCCCGCACACCACTCCCCCCCCCAACCTCAGCTAATTGACTTGGACGACTCTCTTAACGAGGTCTTCAATATATATATTTAAAAAAATGCTCCGGCATCATAAAGGACAGCCGATATTATTGCGAGGAATGTGGGTCGCTGGCAAATTACGTTTTTTTTTTTTAAAACGAATTGGAAAGGCGGCGGCGGCGGCGGCGTCGCGCGTGGGAAGCGTCGTCTGAAAGAGAGTGCACGTCTCGTTGCGTAACGACATCCACTCGGACATTTCAGAAATTGAAATTGTATTAAAACATTGATTAAAAGAAGGTTTTAGCGAGGTCGTTTTCATTCCCCGCGCAGATGAATTATCGTCATCATTATTATTTGCTCAGAAAGCCTCCAGGGAAAAAAAGCATTACGAGAGGCAGCTTGAGGCCTCATCAGTGAGCCACTCCACTTTGGAACGCCAAGCAAAAATCCCAGTGTGTTGCACGGCTCCTCACAATCGTTGGGGGGTACGGGGGGGGGGGGGTATCATCGGGTGAGTCATGCCCAACTCTCAAGACGAAAGATTTTTTTTACGGACGCGCTCATTTTCAAACGACGCACGTCAGGTATCCGGCCTCCACGCCAGCGACGGCGAGAGACGACGATGGCGTCTCTGACCACCGACCCAGCCCCACCTCAACCCGTGGATTCGTCCCCGGCGAGCTCGGTTGGCTACGTGCGGTGCGAAAGAAGGCGCGCAAGGGCACACGCACGCACGCAGGCGAAGCGATAATGGGGCAGGGCGATCGATGTTCCGCGCCCGAATCCACGGCCGCAGATCTAATTTCATGTCTGCGCGACAAAACCGAAAGAAGTGAACGAATGGGGACAGGATTGGACGGCTGGGGGAGGGGTGGAAAAGTGGGGGGGGGGGGGGGCGGATGGCAGTGGGGGGGGGGGGGGCGGATGGCAGGGGGGGGAGGGGGCTTTAGCCATCTTCAAAATTAACCTCGGCGCTGGCTAGAGGCAAGGTGCCGTGGTCAATTATAGCGCGGAAAACGGAGACCCTCTCAGCTGTTGCAAGATTATAATAATAAGTAACTGCCACGGCGGTGTAATGGTTAGCAGCACACTGGAGTTTTTTTTGCAATCTAAGAGGTCGCCGGTTCCATTCCATCTCCCGTTTCTTAAATTCCTCCCGGCTCTGCCCGTCCAGCGGCACCGATGGGGGGGGACACACCACGGGGTGGGCTGTCGATCGGCGGCCGGGTGAGAGGCGAGCACTCCCACGTCTTTCAAGAGCTTCGGCGAGTGTGGAAGATTTGACCAAATAGCCCGCAGATTAGACCGAGAAAGGTGGGGGGGGCGGGGGGCGGGGGGGGGTGGCGGCCTTCCGCCAGCGTGGAAAGAGCAGACAAGCGGATGCAGGACGCGATGGCGGCCGCAGGAAGGCAGCGATCGGGGCAACAACAAAAAAAAAAGACGGCCGTCCAAGGATCGGGAACGGGCGGAGAGAGCCGCGATTGCGATCCCGGCGTCGCCGTTCGTCGCTTTAATTCGAGCCAGGCCACGCGGACGCGGGGGGCCAGCCGCCCGTGCCCCGCCGTCGGCTCGGCTCTCCGTGACTCGGGTTACAAAAGTATTTAAATGCAATTAATCAACGGGGTGGTTTTTTTTTTTATGTTACGCGGCGACTGCCCGCCGCCGCCGCCGCCGCCGCTATTTTCGGCCGGATGATCGGGAGAGAAGATCCTCGGGGGTGTATTGTGTGGAAGGCCGGCGGGCGGGCAGGGGGGTGGGGGGGGGGTGTAACCGCGAAAAAGAGGACAGATTAAATTAATTTATTTACGGCATAAAAACGTTTCGTCGGGCGCCCTAATCGGCGGCACGGCCTCGTCTCCGAGTACCTCGAAACCAAACGCTGTGCTCACGTGGGATTGCGTCACCGCCGTTAACATCGTTACCCCCACACTGCCGCGTCACCATTCGGTTCGCTGTTATGCAAATCGGTGAGAACGCGTAATAATATTCCACTTGCGGGGAAATAAAAAAAAACACTCGCGAACGCGGTGCGCGGATTTAAAACGCGGCGATCGTCCACCCGGGAACGGAGGCCCCCCCCCCGAAGATTTACACGGGGCAAGCGAGCAAACAAAAAAACAAAGCGGCCAAACGACGCCGTGGTCGTTTCACCCTCCGCTCGTCAAAAAAAAAACGTCCACAAATTACATAACCCCCACCACCCCCCCCCCCCAAAAAAAAAGAAACAGCCGCAGAATTCCTTAACCGTGAACCGGGGTTGTTTTAATTTTGTATTAATATTCTGCGAGTAAATATACTGGTTTACCGGGTCGGGGCTGCGCATCGAGACGGTGGCCAGGAGATGTTAACTACCTCGCCTGGTATGGCTAATGCCCGTTATATACTTGGAGTTTGCGTGTCTCTCTCTCTCCCCCTTGGTCGTGTGGATTTTTCTCCGGGTCCTCCGGTTTTCCCCTCGAGAGCGTTCGGCTGCTGTACATTTTCGCGCGAGAAGCCACTTCATTGGGGTATCATTTGCGTCCAGGTCACTTCTGCAAAAGAGCGATGTAAGCTCAGTGGGCCTTCGCCTGGCAAAATAAAAAAAAACAGTTTCTAGTGGAGCGGCGTCGCCGCAAACCGAGCCTGCTCGACGCTCCGGTATGTCCCCCCCCCCCCAAGTTAAGAATAAACGAGAGGCGTTTGGGAGAGCAGAAGACGACTCTCCTCGCGCCTGCGCCCGGCAAATCGACGAGGCCACATTCTGCCTTTCATCTCGTCCCACCGCCGCCACCTCCCACCCCACTACCGCCAACCTCTCTCTCTCTGCGCCGACACAGACCACCACCGCTGCACCACCCATCGGCTCCGACCGCGCACGCAGCCTGTCGCGCCGTTCCACCCGGGTCGCGACGACGCGTCGCCACGCGGCCAACGATCGCCGCGAGACATCGTAATCTGCCGGCCAAGTTCCCCGCGGGTGCGGAGGACGCGCGCGGGGTAAGCGATGCAGCCGGGCGGGTACCGCGATCGACAACGCGTGAATGGGCCCCGCGAACGAATGAACGTGCGGGCTGGGGTGACTTAATGAATGAAATCGGCTGATAAGAGTTGACGGATCGATGCTCACGCAGGGGTGAAGGAGTTGGGTGAGGGCTGCACAAAAACGGGCGTGAATGAACGCGAAGGGTGCATTAATGATTGTTTGAATGAATGCTCACGTTTCTAAATTGATGAGCTAATTAATTGATGAATGTGCTCAATTCACTAAATTCGTGTATCAATGAATGGCTCGGTTATGATTGTTCCCAATGGATTATTCGATGCACGCATGATGTAATCAAAGAGTGAAATGAATGAAGGGCGAGTTAATTAACGCATCAATGAATGAAGCAATTGATGTGTGAATGGGCCCAATTAATTAATCGGCGAAAGTAAAAAAGTGTGCCAACGCACCGGTCAAACATGCGGGGGGGGGAAAAAACCCCACGAATACACCCGACAAGAAACGCATGCGCCTCTTCAGATCTTATTTGGAGAAGCGTAAACAGTCCATCGTGAAGGGTGCCCTGCAAATCTGACATTTGCCTGGTCGGTTTGGGTGTCCCGCGGGATGCCCGTGTCGGACCTTGTCCTGTTCGGCATCAATATGTCCCTCCCCGCCCCCCCCCCCCCCCCCCCGGTTAGGGCCCCACTCTTCACCGTCTCGGTCCAAGCACTACAATAATCGCCGCCACGCACACGACACCGAAATCCGCCCACGACGTCGCTTGCTTCCGAGCTCTGCGAGCCGACGCAATCCGCCTGCGCAACTTTCCCCGTCGCCGGTTGTGGGGGGGGGGGGGTGGGAAATGTAATCATAAATAAGCGAGACTACGACAAGTCAATAAAAGTCGTGGTCACGCAAGCTCCACACCCTCCGACCGACGGACGTGGATTAGGCGGAGGCCGTGCTAATTGGGACACCCACACCGCCGGTCGCGTCAAGTTGGCTCGCTTGCCCCGACGATTGACGGCCACGACATCTGCCCGGCCCTCAGGAAGCCTTTGCAGGGGGTTCGGGGAGGGGGGGGGGCGGTTGATGCTGCTGCGCTGGTCGTTAGAGACTCGTGGTTACCAGACGAGCGATTTGACAGGCGCTATGTAAATACCCTCGCTGTGCGGTCGCAGAAGATGCATTCTAAAACAAAAAAAAGGGCGCAGAAAGCAAAACAGCACAAGGAGACGCTGCCTGCCGAGTAGTGCACACAGTATGCACAGTACACGCGGAGTACACGCGCGGTACACACTGAGTACACGCGGTACACACGGAGTACACACGCGGTACACACTGAGTACACGCGGTACGCACACGGTACACACAATACACACGCAGTACACGTAAAGTACACAGTACACACAGCACACAAAGTACATGAGCAATACACGTGCGGTAGACATAGTACACACAGTACACAGTATGCAGTAGGACATGTCCCATGTCCTACTGCGTATCCGCATGTAGAGTGAATTTAAACCGCGTAACACAGTGAATTCTGGGGGGGAAAATCGCACAAACCGATCCCGCAGACAGCGAGCGAAAACCTGCATATGATCTCTATCGAATGAGCGAGTGAATGCACAAATGAATGAACGACTGCGAGCGGCTCTCACCTGTCCTGGCGTTTGGCCGTGCGACGTTCCCCGGTTCGGCGGCGCCGGCACCCCGCTCCTCCCCCTCCTCGTTGGCGCCGCCGCCCCTCGGCTGTGCCGCCTGCTGCTGGCGCAGGCTCAGCAGGTGCTCGTCCGACTGCATGTGGGCGATGAGCGCCTCTTTGGACGCGGCTGAGAACGAGCAAACCTTGCAGGAGTAGCGCCCGCCGCCGGCGACGCCGCAGCCACCAGCAGCCACGGTAACACCACCACCGACACCACCAGCAGCAGCGCCGGCGCCGACGCCGCCTGCCGCCGGCGACCTGCCGGCCTTCGGTGGCCGCGCCGCACCGTGAGAGCCGAACCCCGAGCGGTCGGCGCTCTCCTTCGCGCCCGGTTCATCGGCGCAGGCGCGCGACCCGCCGGCTCCCTCGCCGATGTCCGGCACTGGGGGCGCAACGCCCGAATTCACCGCCGCATTCTCCTCCTCCTCCTCCTCCTCGTCCTCCTCCTCGTCATCCTTCTCGTCGTCATCTTTGGAATAGTCGCACGCCGCTTCGCGTAAGGGGAAACCCGCCGATGCCGCCGTCGCCACCGCCAGATCGTTACTTCCCCCTCCCGCCGCTGCATCAGCCTCGCCGGCGCCGGCTTTGGAAGCTGCCTCGTCGCCCGGCTCCATCTCCGCGGCCGATCCGGCGCTCCCCACGCTGCTCACGCTCGTGGAGTCGGGCGAGTCGGCTCGCTCCGCCGTGGCCCGCCCCGGCTCGGCGTCCCGGCGGCACCGCGTCGCGGTGCCGGCGGCAGCGCCGCCGCCTCTTTGGTGATCGTCCGGCTCCACGAGCTCCACATCCGGCTCGCTCAGCTCCGCATCCGACTGGTCCGTCGAGTCGCCCCCATACGCGGCGCCCAGCCGGGGCACCGGCTCCGACAAGCGGGAACCGGCGTCCGGGGAAAGCCGGCCGTCCTCCGACGCGGCCGGTGCCGGCGCCGCCGACGCCGACTCGGACGCCGGCGACGGCACCTCCCGGCCCGCGACGTCGCAGCCTTCCTTGGCCGCCGCCCTCCGCCGGGGCCGCAGGAAGCTGACGAGCGGCCTCTGCTGGTGCCGCCCCTCCCCGCCGCCGCCGCCGCCGCCGCCGTCGTCGCGCATCTGCACGATGGCGGACGTGCGCTTGTCGGTCAGCAGCCGGCGCTCCTCGGCGTTGAGCGCCACGGCGTGGTCGTGGGCGGCGTGCGACACGAAGGAGCGCGTGTGCCCGAACGTGAGCTCGCACGGGAAGCACATGAGCACGGGGCGGCTCTTCACGTCCGCCACTCCCACGTCGTCAAACTCCGACAGGTCCAGCGGCTCGGCGGCGCCGACGCCGCCGTCGGCGCGCACCGGCCGCACGCTGTAGAGCTCGTACGCGTTGCACACAGGGCTCAGCAGCTGCGCCAGGGGGCTGCCCCGGTAGGCCCAGCTCTGGCCCTGCCACGCGCGCAGCAGCGACGCGAACTGCGAAGAGTCCAGCACCTGCGTGTACGGTTCGGCGTCCGAGTTCGGCGCCGCCGCCGCCGCCGCCGCCGCCCCCGCCGTCGCCCCGGCAGGATCGTCCGATGCCAGCGCCGCGACGGAAGCGGCCGACGACGACGAGGAGGACGAGGACGACGAGGACGACGCGGCGTTCTCTCTGGGACGTTCCGAGCGTCGGTCTTTTACGAAGGAGTCCGCGGGGCCGGAGGCGCCCGTCTCGTCCGGGGCGCTGTCGGCGTCCGAGCCGCCGCTCCTCGTTTCCCTCGGCGAGTGGGCGCGGCGGGCGGCGTCCGAGGGGGCGGCGCAAGCCGCTTCCCGGTGATCGCCGGATACGGATTTCGGAGTTTCCGGGCGTTCCGGATTTCGAGCGTCGGTTGCCGGTTTGTCCCCGTCGCCATTTCCATTTTCGTCGTCGTCGTCTTCGTCGTCTTCCTCCTCCTCCTCCTCTTCCTCCTCTTCTTCTTCCTCTTCGGATGACATCACCACCGGAGCGACCGGGGCGGCGGCGTCACCGCCCTCCATGGCGATGGCATCATCGTCGTCGTCGTCCGAGGTCATGTGACCGCGAGGGAGTTCCGCGATTGGCTTCCTACGGCCGCCCTCTCCGCTGCTGGGCGAATCGTGGGCATCCATGGAGACCGGCAAAGAGGATTCTCATTTCAGAAAGTGCCCAGAGGACCTGCAGCACGCCCAACAAGAGAAGACAACATGCAGAACAAAAAAAAACACAAAAGCCACGTTGTTATTTGCTTTAAAAAAACATCAACGATATTTCAGAAAACGATCAGGTGATTAACAGAACACACGCAGGGCAGAGACAATTGTGACCGTGAAGAAATATGTCAAACACTATGTTGATCGACTCTGGGCTTTGACAGAACATCATCGCGAAACGGGGATAATGATGATGCTGATCAATGGGACGAGGCCGGCGAGCCAACGGCAGCCAAAGAACGGAACACATCCGACCACCGTGGAGACGGAGCGATGAAGTTTGCCCGAGGCGCAAGGAGGCGAGATGGACCGGTGGCAGATGGCTTGGGAAAGCTTCCATCCAGCAGTGGATAGACATGACCGATGATGATGGATGATGATGGTAAGTCGCTTGGGTGGTACACTTCATGAGAATAACTCCTGAATGGCAGCTTCGAGGGGACAGTAACATAATAAAAGGAAGGCGGGGGCGACTTGGAGGGGGAGGCCTTCATCCAGCAGTGGACTGATCCGCGACGGGGGCGTCAAGGCCGCCCTCTCCCGGGAGCGTGGTGGGGCGAATGTTAAACGGCCGAGCCACCAAACCAATTCTTGGGGAGAGAAACGACCACGGTAAATCAACAAAGCTAAACTTAAACTAAACTAATTTTATTTTAACAGGTAAGGCCCGCCCGAGCTATGTAGCTTTTTTCAGAAGCGGCCTGGCCACCACATGATAGCCCAACAAAAAGTGGATCATCATCATCATCACGTGGAAATGCATAGCAGCCAAACACTCTAAATGCACGTTGATTCTCAATGTGGAGGGGAAAACCGGAGGACCCGGAGAAAAATCCACTCGACCACACGGAGAGAGAGAGAGAGACGCAAACTCCAAATACGCAGCAGACGTCAGGGTCGGAATTGAACCCACGACCTCCTGTATACCTTGCGAGGTAGTTCACATCTCGCCACCGCGGCGCCACAATGTGGTTGAATTACGGTGGTTGAAATGTGAATGCACTGGTGCCGGTACGACACCTACCCATCCCGCAGCTGCCCGTGTTCACTGCCGTTTCCACTCTGCGGAGGCATCGCGGAATATGAATAAGGAACCGCTCTGAGAAGTTGCCGGTTTACGAGTCTGGCGTGAGAAGCACAGCCTTAATATGTTGGGGCAAGTGCTGTTATTAAGCGCCTATTAAGGTCGGAACAGAACAAGAGAGGGTAGGCGGCCAGCAGCACGCCCGGCCGCCTTTGTCTCCCTAGTGGCGATGTTTACTACACACCGCACCAGGTACTCATTCCAGGCAGCGTCGACCTAGGGGAGGCCAAGGTGCGATTCGGATAATCGTCACTGGTGTTGGCCGTGAGCGGGAATCAAACTCGTGTCTCCAGGTTCATAGTGCGCACACACACACACACCTCCCACTGCCCCCCCCCCCCACACCTAACCCGCCCACAGCTCCCCGACGATGAGTGGGGGGGGGGGCGGCATAAGCTCACACTTATTATCGGAGTTGACTTAATAACATTTGGCAACACGGCCCCCGTTTATTGATACGCTCTTCCATGTCGCCATTGATATTGTGCAAAACAAACCGCTTAGGAAGTATCGAGCCGGCACTTAGGGCGGCCGCTAACGAGGGCCTCTGACGCGCACACACACACACACGCGCACAGAGAGAGGCGAGAGAGCGCAGCGTCGATATTAGCGCGGCACGCTACAAGAGGGCCGCGCGGAAGCGCACGCGAACCACGCACCGCCAGTTCATTTTTTGAGGAGTCGATCGGCCTTAACCCCTTCCCCGTTCGGCAAGCGGGCCCCCCCCCCCCCCTCGCTCATCCGCGCCGTTGCAGAGGAAAAAAAACCTCTCTTCCCCCGTTGAACTTGGAAATAAACCTCGGCGGTCAATTTCACCGGATCCGCGTTGCAGCCGCGGCGACACGGGAGGGGGCCCCCGCGTTGGCGGTTTCGGCAAGCAAATAAAAAAAACCGGCGCGCGCCAAAGGACAATTCCGGCGGGCGCTTTAGCGGGGAGGGAACGCGTGGCCGAGGGTTAATGATTGAAAATCGATGACGCGGCTAATGCGCCATCGGTCGCAGCTGACAAAAAGGTGGGCCAAACGACTCGTGGAGGACGGTGGAAGGCGGCGGGGCGCGGGCGAACGCGCGCGGTAGCGGCGGAGGTGCGCAAGCCACCGGGACGCCGCCAACAACGCCAAACGACGACTTCGTTATCCGTCACGCGCTTTCCAGGTGCGCCTCTTTCGCACCGTACGTAGCCAACCGTGCGAATCGGAGGTGCGGGGGAAGGCCAACGGACTAAACAGAAATAAGCGGCTCTAAAGAAATTCGTTTTCAATCTGGATGTAAAAGCGCATAGCTCCCAAGGGGCTTTCTAATATCGGAAGGAAGAGCGCGATCCAGAAGCGCATCTGAAAGCGCCGCGCGACGATGCGGTGACCGTCTTGGTTCGACGGCCAGCCAAAAGCCGCTGCTGCGAGGGTGACCGGAGTTTGTGCGATGGATGAATGCTCCTTGACACTTGACCATCGCACGACATGACAGTCACGTGATGGTCAGACCGGCGATGAGAACTTGTGTCCCGTTATTTGCCGGTGGGAAAGTGCTGCCCCCCCCCCCCCTATTCTGTCGAGCAGAGGCCACTTGAAAGGACCTCAGAGGCAGCTCTGTGATATCTGCTTTCGTGGGCCATTCTCCCGTGGAAGGGTTGCAACGCACGCATGCATGCATGTTGAACTTCTTTTGCACCATGCATAGCCAACCGTGCTACTCAGAGGTCCGAATGAATTTTCGCGACACGATGGTGCAATGCGATGGTGCAATTGGGATAAAATTGTAAAAAAAAAAATGGTGCATATGTATTGAGTACATAATGGTTTTCCAACGTGCGTTTGTGCATTTTTGAATAATTATTTGCGTGTTTTCAGTTTCCATGTATTGGGAGCGATAACGCCCCGGTCAACGTGGCCGGTTTTCTCTCGGCTGCTTCTCTAATGGCGACACAACTTAACAAACGACAATAATTTACAATTGTTAATAATAATTTGCGATTAATCCGCACTCTGTATAATGTTTAACTGTCGCGGCTATTTTTGTTTCGACATTAATTCTGGCGCTCTGTTCGAGTTTTGCGTACGACCGAGTTTACGCGCAATTGATCCATTTGTCCACCCGTGTAACGTCCCCTGTAATTTGTCCAACAATCTGGTCTACAGCCACAGAGCTGAACAACCTGTGACAAAAATAAAAATAAACTTTCACAGGTCACCGGGGTTCCCGCTAGCTTCGATCAAACGGCGACCCTTGTGACCCGAGCCGTATCCGACAGCCAATCGCGTCCACTCGCCGATGCCCCCCGGAACCGCGTTTGATTCGCGCGCCGATTCACGGGCTTAAGGAGTCGTGGGAACGAACCGAGCGCCCGTGGTTTCGATCGACGGCCTTGCCCGCGGCACCTCCGCTTTGGTCCACGCGACAACCGCTGAAGGGGCCCTGCCCTGGGCCAAGGGTGCGGCCTTGCGTGTGCGTCACCACCTATATGGGGGTCTCTATTGTGGCTCCCCCCTGCCGCCCCACTCTCTCCTGATGGTCAAAATGACCCTTCAATTCCAATTGATACTCAGGTGGCCTGCAGACAGCGCTGCACCCGTCCGCGGCGCAGAGGTGACGGCGAGGCATTGTGGGCGGAGGGCGTGGCAAAAGTCAGGTGGCAGGGATCCCCGCAAGGCCTTTTTCCCCCGGCGCGCGTTCGTCATCCCGGCCGGGAATCGCCAACGTTAAACACGTCAAGGAGGGTCCCCCCCGTGGATGGTTGACGATCGCAGATAACAAACGAGCCGCTGCGACAGGCAATGCTTGCGCGGGCGAGCGCAGGCAACGCGCCGGCGTGGCGAGCGGTAAAAAGAAAAAATAAATTGCGGGACTCGTCATCAAGACAAGCCTGCTGGGCGTGGCGACACAGCGGCGCGTGAAAGCTAGCACGCGCTCGGCTCGCACTCCAGAGGTCGCCGGTTCAGTTAGGCCGCCGAACCCAATCATCGCTCACCGCCGGTCTTCCCAAGGCGTGCCGCGGCGTCAACACGGAGCGCCGATCGCAAATTTGGCAGCACGGGCGCCACGCGATCACCGCGTGACGCCCGTGCACGATGCTCTCAGCCTCGCGCACACCGCCGGGGGCTCGAGAGTCGAACGTGCGACCGTCGCCCGTTTAAAATTCAGGCGGCCGAGTCAGGGAGCTCAAAAATTTGCGGCCGTTCCCAGGGCACGCGCATTGTCCCGGTCGCCCCCCCCGGTTTTCTCACCGCCGACTCAAAGTGCGCTGCCACTGGCACGCGAGCACGGAATGCCTAATCGCTTAACGAGGGCGCCGCCAATTTACGCCCAGACAGGCCGCTAATTGGCCTCCTCAACAACGCCGAGTCGGCAGAAAGCGCGGAACCCTTGCCCCTGCCCAGGCGTGAACACCACCCCCTCCGCCCCCCCCTCCCCCGCCCTTATGACCCCCCTCCCCCCACCACCGCCCTACACCGCCCCGACGCTTGTCTGTCCGTCCGACTACAGAGGGGTCAAAGTGCCAGGCCCGGTGAAAATACACCGCGCGCCGGTTAACCTGGACATCTGTAAAAAGAATAAAAGCTTCGTAGCTCATCGGATTTCTCCAAGATTAATAAAGATTCCAATTCTGTACCCTGTGGCGCAGTGCACCATCCCCATCGTCACCACTGTCGTCATAGTCGTCGCCTTCACGTCCCATCTATCCACTGCTGGACGAAGGCCCCTCCCCGCCCCCCCCGCCAAGCTCGTTGTCCTCGTCGCTCGAGCTGCGATTCCATCGCTCCACATCCGCCGGCACGGCTGTGGTCCCCGTCACCGCCGCCGTCGCCGCCGTCTCATCCAACGACGCGTCTGCCCTGCCCGGGGCCCCTGCTTCGCTTCTCTTCCAACGGTCAAACACGACG